CCTTTAGCGCCACCAACATCTCAAATTTGCACTCATGTTTATGCTAATAACTAGAAGTAGAGTTAGAAGTAGAGTTAGAAACTCCACTTTTTCTAACTCATCTTAGACAGTTCATCTGAATTTCACCAAACCTGGTTCAGATCATCTTCAGACATTTTTGGAAATGAGTTTTTAAAAGATTTTTGACAGACCCAGTGCTTCTCTTATAGCGCAAATACAAATAACAAATTTGGCAAAAGAGGACACCAAAATGGACATGAGGCTATATCTCCGCAACACTTTATCGTAGTCAGACCAACTTTGGTACGTGCTATAATAACCAAGACCTGAGGATTCATGAGCAGTTTCAGCACAGCGCCACCTACTGGTCAAGAGATATGAATAATTGACATTTTGACCTATAACTTCTGAACAGTTTGGCCAAAACACTCAAGTTTGGGCTCTTTTGATTCAGAGTAATGACAAAAACACACAAGCCAAGTCAAGTCACCTTTATAGTGCTTTATACAAAGACAATAGTGCATCATCCAGGTTTAATCAGTTCACGTTTTGTTCTCAACCGATGGCGTCAGTCAGTGCGGTCATATCGATAAATGACTGAAAGTTACGTGTCTTTCAGATCCAAACTAATCAAGCCAAAATATATTACTAAAGCCACTAATGTGTGTCATTGAGTAAAATCAGAGCGTTTTGTGATGTTTTTTGCAGGTGCGGCCGCTCTGGCGTCTCCGTCTCTCGGCTTCTTCTCGCTTCTCCTCACGGTTCTGTTGAGTTTGATTCTCTGAATGTAGTTTCATCCTGATTCAATGAAGCTGAACTCTCGCAGGATGAAACCCACCAATATTCAGAGCCCACGCGGCTCTGGAGAACAAAAGACTGGAGATTCAGGGCAGAGCGTGTGTTTAATGTCTGAACCGTTCAATATGCCTTACAACATCTCACACTCTGATCTCTTACTGAGCGCTGATTGGTCCAAACGGAGCGGAAACAGGAAGTGTTGTCGTGAGACTTCCTGTGTCTTTTGGTGACCGATCAGCGTCTCACGTTTGTCTTTATGTCATTGTCAGATCAGTGG